GATTTCAGTAAGGTATTTGACAAGGTCCCGCATGAGCGGCTCCGCTTCAAACTCCGGAGAATCGGCGTCACTGGCAATTTCTTTCTTGAGTCTCGATTTGCTGGACGGTCACTTCATGCAGGTTAAAGTTAACCAGTGAGGTCCCTCAGGGTTCTGTACTCGGCCAGGAACTCATCAATTTCTTTATCAAGGACCTGCCATCCGAACTGCAGACCAACTGCTTATTCTACGCGGATGACCTGAAGCTGTGGATTGAGGTATCCAGTATGGAAGATGCAGACAGACTTCAAGCGACACTCGACTGCTCCACGATTGGTCACTAATATGGCAGTTGCCCATTAACCGTGACAAATGCCCTGCCCTTCCAATCGGTGCTCTTGAGCCTTTTGGGGCTTACCATATCGGGGGTTTCTTGCTCAGAAATGTCAACCAAGAGAGGGATGTCTGGTTGATTGTGTCTCCTGATCTCAAATCAATCGGACACCCGGAAGAGGGTCGTATCCACCTACAGAATAATTCACGCTATACGGAGAGCTTTTTCACGCCTGACCCCAGCACTCTTCAGACAACTGTTTGCTTCGCATGTGCGCCCAGTTCTCGAGTACGGATTACCTGCTGCGTATCCTCACGAAGTCCGAACGTGACATGGTCGAGAAGGTTTAACGTCGATCCAAATCCGTTCCAGAGTAGTGCGACTTATCTTACCTCTTACATGCTCTTACCGCAAAGCTACTTCCTGACCTGTTGGCCTTCACTGAGACTTGGCTCACTTCAGACATCTCCGACTCTGAGATCCACATCTCAGGATACCAACTTTTCCGTACTGACCGATCTGGATCTAGAGTTGGTGGTGGCGTAGTACTCTACTGGAGAGAGGATCTTAAAGTTCATCTCGTAGAAACCGTCAGCGACGCTGTTGGTGGCGCAGAGCTACTCTGGTGTAGGATCAACGATGGCTTCACATCCCTTATGGTTGGCGTCATCTACAAAGCCCCGTGGGGACATGGTACTTCTGTACTAGACTTTATCAACTCGCATGGAAACCGCAGAGATTGTCTTATTGTGGGCGACTTCAATGCCCCGCATATCAATTGGGATCTACTACACTGCCACCTTTCCCCCGAGTCATTTGACACCAGCCTCCTTGAAACTGTCCTCAAAACGAATCTCACCCAGCATATAACATCGCCCACCAGGCTTCTTCCCGGCCAGACTCCGCACATTCTTGATCTTGTGCTCACTCCGTCCCTGGCAGATGTCTCAGAATTGACCCTTCTACCACCCATAGGCAAAAGCGACCATTGTACAATCTCCTTCCTATGGACTAAACGTCTAGCTATCCGAACCCGGAGCGCACACCGCCGCAACTTCTGGCGAACCGACGCATTCAAGCTAAGGGTGGCAGCAGGTACATTGGACTGGAATGTTCCACAACACTTAGATCTCGATGCTGCTTGGAACGATTTATCCCGCAAATTGAAGCTTCTCATCGAGGAGGCCGTCCCATTCAAGAAGAACAGGCCTCTTTCTAAGGGTCCTCCCTGGATCGACCGAGAACTAAGGGCCAATATGAAACAACGACGAAAACTATGGGACAGATTCAAGCTTTCCCGCTCAGACTCAGACTACTCTAAATACAAAGCCATCAGGAACTTCTGCTCCCTGCAGAAACGTGAAAAGAGACAACGATACGAACATAGCCTGGCCGAACAATCTTTCTCTAGGCCAAAGATACTATTTTCATACCTTAATAGATCCTCCAAGACGGGCTGTGGAATTCCTGCATTGTCTACCAATGAGCCAGATATGATACACTATGATGATGACGCCAAAGCTGACCTCTTGGCTCTACAGTTCTCCTCAGTATATACGAAGGGAGACAGACTCGCAAACCCTCATATAGTTGCGCATACAGTACCTCTGGAACATATCGACATTGATGCAGGTGCTACCTTGAAGCTACTACTAGAACTGAACTCCTCTTCCTCACCAGGCCCAGACGGGTTACATCCACACTTTCTCAAGATGGTTGCAGAATTCATTGCCGTCCCACTTTGTCAAATCTTTCAGCTCTCTCTTAAAGCTGGTCGACTACCTGTCGATTGGAAGACGGGTGTAGTTATGCCGAAATACAAAGGGGGAAGCCGCCAGGACCCTGCGAACTATCGGCCAATTTGCTTGACGTCGGTCGCCTGCAAGATCATGGAAAAGCTCATTAAATCTGCTCTCCACCGACACTGCGAAGATCTGAACTTCACCTCAGTCACTCAGCATGGCTTCCGAAAGGGGCACTCCTGCATCACTAACCTGTTGGTCGCTAGAGAGAAGTGGGCCAAATTAGTGGACGCTGGAAAACGTTTAGATGTGGTCTTCATCGACTTCAGCAAAGCTTTTGACAGAGTCCCACATCAGGAACTACTCTCTAAGCTCGGCGGAATTGGCGTGACAGGGAACCTCCTACTATGGATCAGTGACTTCTTGCAAGGCCGGAACATGCAAGTCAAAGTAAACGATACCCTCTCATTCCCCGTGCCCATGTATAGTGGCGTACCACAAGGCTCCGTTCTCGGACCGGAATTGTTCAAAATATATATCAATGATCTACCAAGTATTCTACAAACGGACTGTCTGATCTATGCAGACGATCTCAAGCTATGGTCGGAAGTGTCCAGCCTCGCAGATGCCGACCGATTGCAGGAAACGCTTGATCTACTACACTCCTGGTCTATCAAGTGGGGTTTGCCGGTCAACAAAGATAAATGCTCAGTCCTTTCTATAGGTGCTGCTGAACCACTGGGCATCTATCACATTGGCGGGCACCTACTCAAGATTGCCACACAGGAAAAGGACCTGGGGACAATAATCTCCTCTGATCTCAAAACGACCCTTGACACGTTAAAGAAAACTGCTGCGGCGAACAGGATGTGGGGCGCCATAAGGAGATCATTCTCTAAAATGACGCCGCAGATATTTAGACTTCTCTTCACCTCCCACATCCGTCCCATTCTTGAATTCGGACATCCGGCCATAGCCCCCTTATCTAAACATGAAAGTGACAAGATCGAAAAAATTCAGCGACGAGCCTCGAAATTTGTCCTTGGGCTACGCAACCTCCCGTACCCCACCCGCCTACAGAGGATGAACCTTTTTCCCTTAGACTATCGCCGACGTCGCGGAGACCTCATCTATACCAGGCGCATCCTACGAGGAGAACTGGGAAACGAGCTAAGGCAGTTCTTTCAGCTAAGACTTGGCAGCTCGACTCGAGGTCACAGCTGGAAGCTTTTTAAACCGAGGAGGCTCAAAGTCCGCTCAGATGTCGCTCTCTCTACTCGAGTGACTAATGATTGGAACCGACTGCCGGACCCGATTGTCAATGCGCAATCAGAAGCGAGTTTCAAACGTTTGCTAGACATCTTCCTACTGAGTACTCCAGGATCCTGCAGGGCTGATATTACATCCTGAGCCATGACAGCCAACTCGCTTGCAATCCTTGGAAGATCGGGAAGCGAAGGAGCTGACACGGGACCCCCTTCTGCTCTCTACCACTCAATGAACTCAATGAATGAACTCTTACAGCTTCAACGGTTGAACCTGTTCCCTTTGGATTATTGTCGTCGCCGCGGAGATACGATATTCACTAGGCGTATTCTACGAGGTAAGCTGCGATCGTTATTTTGTCCCAACACAAGGTGTGCAACTATGGGCTACGGGGGAAATTTGTCAAACCTCGGGGACTCCGTGTGCGGTCCGATCTGGCCCTACCCACCCGGGTAGTGAACGACTTGCCAGAGGCTGTCGTCTATGCGGAGACAGAGGAATGTTTCAAACGACTGTTGGATACCCACTCCCTGACTGCGCAGGGATTCTGCTGCACGCAATATAAACATAGCGATCTTCTGCGGAACCTCGTTCCGCAATGATCCCAGCAACCCTCGCAACGTTCGGGGAATGACAGAGCTGACAAAGGAACTTCCTTCTGCTCCCTATCAACCAATGTAGCTACAGTGGTGCTCTGCGGAATCTTGTTCTGCAATTACCTATGCCATCTTCGCAATGATCGGAATGTGAAGGAGCTGACAAAGGATCTACCTCCAGCTCTCTATCATCCAATGAAAAGTGAGTAGTGTAAATAGTAAGATCAACCTGATCAGAAGGTTAACAGCTAGATGTGATTTATCGAATGAAAATATCGTTATGCAACCAAGTCACGAGAGAGACGTTCCCGTAACGACTACACGGACCAACCCGTGGGCCGGTGATCTGCAACCACAAGGTCACCAGTTCGAATCCGCTTATGGGTGGGTGTCACCGCACGACTGGTAGTGTCCGCGCGACAGCGAAGTGCCGTTACGGCGTACAGCCGACAGATTATCACCATATTTTTAGCGTAGCAATGCTTATGCTTAGCCGTTCGGTGATAATGCCAGACTAGGTTCAGCGTGTCAGAGAAAGAAGTCAAAGGGGACACAATGGATGTGATCTAACGTAATCAATTCAGAACAACAGCTGTTCTGCTGCGGCCCCAGATAGCACCTCCCTACGCCGATTAGCGAGCACGTGACCAAGGGCGATAGGCTAGTTTAGGTAACGTTGCAGCGACCATACCTATAGTCAATATCGTGACGCCGGTACAAAACCGGTGTTGTGAGCCATAATGCTGACTGACGACTAAACCAGCTTCCGCCACAGATGATAAGAATTTGGAGTCATCATCATTAAACAACAGCTGAAGGTGAAAAGCACAGTTATGGTGAAGAATTTGGAATGCCTCGCGGTGACAGCTGATAGGGGATGACGACCTATCGGAAACGGCAAGGCAGACATGTGACGGTGCTTCGCATTCTGAGGGTGAAGAGAACATACAAAATTGCGCTGTCAAATGCCGACCTATCGATATGAGTTCACAGAACAGCCAAAGGAGAGGTACAGGAACCCTAAATAAACCGAAACAGCCTGCGTTTTGAGTTCCCACTACGTAATAATTGCAAAAATTACGTGGAGCTTGACAGACAATTTATTAAGCTGGAAACATGATTAAACAATCGTTTACATGGAGACAAAATGCTGAAGAGCTATCGGTAACTAAATTCAAGAATGGTCGACTGAGTACATGTGCGCAATCAAATCTACAACTCGGCAGCTGTACCCATATTCGTTGTCGTACCTAGGAAAATGGTAAGAGGAAAACAATAAACAAAACTTACCAGGCGATTAATTTCACGAAAGTATCGTTTAGCTGAATGCCAGCTTCGGCATCGAAAATAGAAGATAGCGAAGTGCCACGGAAGTCCATGCTGACAACCAAATCCTCGGTGTAACCAAGGATGTTCTTCAAAGGCCCTTCGGACGCCTGTTTGATTGCTTCCTTTATTTCGCTGTACTTGGCAGGTTTTGATAATTTGCAAGTTAGATCAACGACAGAGACATCAGGAGTGGGAACACGGAAAGCCATACCCGTCAGCTTTCCATTTAATTCGGGAATGACTTTACCGACGGCCTTTGCAGCGCCTGTGGAAGCCGGAATAATATTCTGGTGTGCGCCGCGACCATCACGCCAAGCCTTGTTGGATGGACCATCAACAGTCTTCTGAGTGGCGGTGTAAGCGTGAACAGTTGTCATAAGTCCTTCAGCAATGCCAAACTTTTCGTGAACCACCAGAGCCAGAGGAGCTAAGCAGTTAGTTGTGCATGAGGCGTTGGAAACTACATTCATGTCTTTCTTGTAAGTACGATGGTTCACACCGACAACAAACATTGGAGCATCAGCTGACGGGGCAGATATTATGACCTTTTTGGCACCGCCTGTGAGATGAGCCTAAAAACGTCACAATAGAATGTGAGACTAACCTTGGCCTTATCGGTCGTGGTAAAGACACCAGTCGACTCTACGATGTACTCAGCGCCAGTTTTAGACCAGGGGATGTTGTTTGGGTCTTTTTCGTTGTAAACCGCAATTGGCATGCCTTTTACCATTAACTTCCCATTTGAGACGCAAACATCATACGGAACAGTGCCGTGAGTGGAATCATACTTGAACATGTACTTCATGTACTCCAAATCAATAAATGGGTCATTCACAGCCGTAACTTCAACCAGACCATGGTCTACCGCCGCCCGCAATACCAAACGACCAATCCGACCAAAACCGTTTATCCCAACGTTAGGCTTAGGCATTCTTCTGAGCGATAGCGAACGTGACTGAGAAAAACAGGTGAAAGGGCGCCGAATTAGTACAAGTGTCTTTGGATGATTAAAACAACCATATTGTTGTTCGGACACAGCGATATTTATTTGCAGTACACAACTTTTAGCATTCTTATATCTTGTTTGTGTTACTCAGTGCAATATTTACACATTTTGCAATATTGCCACTAAGATTGTGCTCCATCTTGGATCTGACCTTTGCAAATTCCGACCAATTTGTTTGGGACCTTGTTCATGGTTCTCCCAGAAGCCAGTGGCTATGCTTGCGTTTTATTCAGCTGCGCATTTATTACGGATTGCAAAGCGAGCAGCACCGAAAGAAAATAGCTGACTTGCTGACTTGAATACCTCGATATTTAAGTTCAAGTTCAAGTGGGACCAGAACATTAGGATAAGTCCCCGTGAATGTTCCTTCTGTGACGCGTCTTTGATCCAGGGTATTATTCGTCCGCGATAACTGGAATCCAGTAAAGCCAGATCAGCGCACTCGAATCACACCACCGTCAACCAATTAATACCCACGCGACTTGCGTGGACGGTGTCTACGTTTAGTACTATCACCTGATATGTTTCCAAGCCAAGTAAGTTTTCTGACAGTAACCCCAGGAAACCCGGGTGGAAGTAGTTTAGAAACGCAAAGTTTGAAACATTGAAGGTCGTCAAGCATGCGATCTTTCGGAAGAGTCGCAGAGGACTGCGGGATATTCTTGAAGATAACGCTGCTGTCCGTAAATGCATCACTACGACGAGGGGTGTGTATTGTACGCGTCACAGTAGCAGTGGCCGGCGCAGCGCTTGAGTTCATATCCTCCTTAGTAGGAACAGCAGGTGCACAGGAGAAGGATTTCGGCAACGAGGTGGAAGGGTTTTCGGCTTTCCTTTCCGGGGACGGAGTATCGGGAGAGCCCACCGTTACATCTCTTAGCTTGGGTTTCGTGGTACTGATGGATTTCTTCATCTTGCGCCGCTTTGCCTTTGCAGATACACTGGTCTGTACAACTTCCCCACTAACAACTGAGTTCAATATAGCGTCAGTATGTTTATCATCTTCAGGCGCCGCCTCAAGAGTTGGTGGATCCTTCGAAGCCGAACTATTTATGCAATCGTCTGAACGCACGCTTGTTCTGAGAAGGCCTGCACGTTCAAGGCTTACGACGATTTGATAAACCTTCCCCTCTAAAGAACTAAACAAAGATAGAAGGGTACCAACTCTATTTACCAGAGTTTCAACTTCGTCCTTTGGGACTAGACGGTATGCTTTGTGCCCCACACAACCATGGCAATTATAAGGCAAATTATCGCTGTTTTGTAGGAGGGTATACTGCTGTCTATCCAACATAGTGCAAGCCTCATGGAACCAAGAACTGCAGAGGTCACATTGCATGCCCCCAGAAGAACCAGTAGCTGATTTTGCGCAACTCGCTTTACCACAAACAGCTGACGAATCGGTTAGTGGGTCCGAGGGAGTCTTGGAACTGGATATCTTTACCATCACGGAAGATGAAAAACTTTAACAGATAATAGGAACGTGAACCAGGGTACGGTAGGCTACAATGCAGACAACGTAAGCGGCAATCAGATAGAACCCGGAGTGATTCGTGTGCCCAGATTTGGACTCACTAGAACCAGAAAATTAGCAACGAAGACCAAAACAGGCTTTTCTGTAGAATACCCTCCAAAAGCTGTCCTCCGATGGAGCTGGGAGAGAATGCAGGAGCAAGGGATTGATCAGCTTCGCGCGGTCGAATATCAACCCGATTTGTACTCGATCGATGAGATATCGATAAAGGCCGGAATCTTTTGCGTTGAAGACTTTAAACAGAGGCCAATATTTCGAGAAGAAAACCACGAACAGTAGGCAAACAATGTAAGATTCTCAAACGCTGTTACACTAGCAGTTTATGCTCAGAGTTATTCAACACTGTTTCCACAAAAGGCTTCCGAGAAGGAAAACTCAAGCGGAGAAGCACGACAACCACGTCGCGACAAAAGAAGGTACGCAATAGATTCCGAGTATGTTGGCACTTCCAAGTACTTTCAGAGTACAAGAAAACTGACAGTCCAATTTTCTATGTTGAGATATTTAACTACTGTTATCAAACAAGGACTTCAGTAAAAAAAGCACGAGCGGTGAAACACGACAAGCACGCCGTGACCTTGATCCTTGCATCGTTTCACGTGCTGTGGATAAACAGATAGCGTGGGACAGGTATAATCCCACCTCGCTGACATTTCTCCTCCTCAGCTTCTTTCGTCGATAAGAATGAGTGTCAGGGCAAAGCCACCATGGCTCGACACAGTTGCACGTATATTGATGCACATACCGGACAGGAGATGGCGCACTTATATTGCCGACTCCTCAATTGCTACGTTTAAGCCCTGTCCTGAAGTGCGTAACCTATACAAGTGCCACGTTCGAGTCGCTCGGCACAGGTATGAATAGGATTCTGGTAAGTAAACCTTTAAGAAGCCAAAGCAGTTTTTCGATAACGTTATGAGACTTAGCATGTTAAATCTGTCCATACCGTTGTTGCACAGCGCCTACGGCACCGCCGTACATGCACACCAGAGATTCAGGTTCAGATTCAGATTCAGATGGACTGGAACGATAGGAAAATCCCTTGAGTGTGCCTACTTGAGCAAATCGTTGGGCCAGGAAAGGATAAGGTGCTAGTTCTCTATAGATCTAAAACGAAACACCCGAAACTTACCCTGATCAACCAATTACTGCCCACGTTCCCTGCACTAGCAGTCCGCGCTGTGCAGGTTACGTGAAGTAGAAAGAAGTAGAAAGTAAATGGAACATAAAGGGGAATGAAAGTCATTAAAATGAAGGATAACACCAAAGGGTAAAGCTAATGACAGAATAAGAACCAAAAGTTTGAAGATGGATATGGTCAGGAGAAGGGAAAGGTTTCGTGTTGCCACCCAATAGCGTCTAAATGACGCTCGAAACACTTAACCGTAAGTTCGCTGACTACATTTTCTGGAAGCGAGTTCCAGCGCTCGATAACTCTACGCGATAACCGAGTTTCCGCCCTGATCCTGTCGGAACGCGGCTTGTGTAGCTTCATAGGATGACTGCGAAGACAAGGCAACCAAGCCTGGCTAAATAGCCAGCTTAAGCCCGGTCCAACCGTCACTAGTGCATTGAATACATATCCAAGCTAAGTAGACGCTCGGGGTACGATTGCCCCCGTAACCCCTCGATCAATTCGGTACCTACTCTCAAAACCCTCTCGAGCTCCATTTTGTTCCGAACAAGGCAGGGTGGGCAAGCCTGGATGCAGTATTCCAAATGGGGCCAAAGGAAAGCTGAGAACCTTCACAAATATGTCGGCAGTTAAGACCCCGAAGGAACGGCGTATTAACCACAACATTCTGAAACCCCTACTAGAATGCAAAGACGAGGAATGAACGGCACCTAGGTCTATCTGGTTGGAGACAAGGGGAGTTCGACCCCACCGAGTACGTAGCTCGAAGGCCGGAAAGTTGCTCCTATACGAAGGACGGAACACTTCGCCTGATTTATGGGCAGTAGCCACAAAGTGGACCAGTCCCAAAGTCTGTCCAGTGCAGGCTGTATGGCCTCAGAACCCCCAGGAACGTTTACAACATTCCATAGCCTAAGGTCCTCAGTAAACAATAGGGATGATACCCCAAGCTCTCCAGGGAGATCGTTTACGTAAATGGAGAACAGCATCGGTCCAAAGACCGAGCCCTGTGGGACACCGCCAAGGACCGCTTGCTTAAAGGATAAGCTGCGACCCACATGTACACACTGCTCTCTTCCCTGCAAGAATGCAGATACCCAGTGAAGGGCGCGGCCGGATACGCCGTAGGACCTCAGCTTATGTGATGGCCTCAAGTGGGGTACCTTATCAAGCGGCCTGTTATGTCGTTGAGAAAAATGCCAGTTCATTTGTAAAAAAAATCCCGCTTGTGCCTAAGGAATAGAATTCCCGCCTGCTATGAAAGTATTCGGCCACAAGAATCAACCGCACTCACCACCCAGTTAATAATTCCAGTGTGCATGGCTGGACGCGAAGGCTGCTAAACCCAGACATTTATACCACAAAAAGTAAGTCAACGTCTATTACCTCAAACTTTTACCCACCTGAACTATTCAGCAACCGCTCCCACGACACCTTTTTATCTTCGAGAGGCATCTTCGACTACTGGCAGATTTTGACAAAACCATTTGTTCAGCCGACTCAGGTCGTTCCCCGTCAATTGAACGCAAACAACCGGCAAACTATGGTTTCGTGTTTTGCGGTGCCAGCTTAGGGTATTGTTCAAAACAACGTACGGCAGCTCTCCTGGAAGTGGTGAGTTTTGCAAGGCAAGCCATCTTCCTATAAAAAGCTACCAATGAGCGTTTAACAACACTGTAAAGTGGCGGAAGTTTGTCGCAACGGCAAAAGCTCACCGCCCACCAATCACGCTTCCCTGGCGGCAGGCTTCTAAGTGCCATCTCTGCAATCGCTTCATGAAATGACCAATTCTACTAATTTAGACATAGAATGTACCCAGACGGTAAACGGAACATTGCTTTTCTATCAAAGTTAACAATCACACCGTAATTTTTTACAGGGTGTCCTGTGTACATAAATCCCAACTTATAGGTACCCCTGTTGTTTGCTTGCAAGGCACGGTTTGCCAAAAGAAAGGGTCACTGCTAACTGTTCACAGTTTCGAAGTAACGTGTATGCTGAATTATTAATGCGCAAGGAAATTAGAAACATGGGGACTATAGCTTATAATCATATAGCGAATAAACCCGTCGAAGGACTTACTCGTACTTTAAAAGAACCTCTACAACTCCTTCGGCTTTCGGGAGAATCCTGGGATGATGCTTTGACATCTGTATTGGTGGTATACAGAACCGTCCCGTATACTGCAACGGCAACGACCCCCGGAGCCAATGCCAGGGCGAACAATTCCAACTCGAGCAACTGCAGCCTTTATACCCAAGGCAATTTTCGATCACAGAGCATACGAAAGACGGGTTGTTTATCAGGCTAAACATAGGCGCAGTGGT